TGAAAATTTTTCTCCCTTTTCCTCCCCACTACCCTTCCCAAGACAGCACACAATCTGATAGAGGCTTTACATTTACATACCCATTAAACATATTTTCACATTAGTGAAGTTGTAAGTAAAAATTAAAACCAATATGAGGAACCATCACAAAGAGGAAACAAAACTCAACAGAAGGTAAAAATAAGTGATAGCGATTCGACTTCCGTAGTTCTTTCTTTGGATGTGGACAGCATTTTCCATCCCGAGGCCTCTGGAGATGTCTTAGATCCTCGTAATGCTGAGAAGGGTTCAGTTTAACAATCTTAGTCATTCCATAACGTGGCTGTTATTGTGTACAAAGTCCTCTTGGTTCTGCTCACTTCACTTAGCAAGCCAGTAGCTCATCTGAAAGGGATCTGCACCTTTGGTGGGCTGGAAACCGAGTCAGTGGTGTGATCCAGCCATCAACAAAGACCTGAGCTGTATGAAGCTGCTCGTGAATGAGGGAGTTGCTTCCAGAAGCAACTCATTGCGAACTGACACGCTGGCTAACAGCCACATGGGATTCCCCTCCTCGGCTTGGAAAGGCACTCCCTTAGAAGCCTCTAGAAGCCTTGGAGAAAAGCAGCCAGCACTGTGGGAATCAGTGACTCGGGCCTTCTCTCTGAGCCTGGAAACCTCTCATCCCTCCCTTCATTAGGGAAGGTACATGGTTGGGCACGTCCATGGCCAATTCCAGGGATGGGGCAGGCTTGATGGGTTTAGCCAGGGCACAGAGCTCTCATATGTTCATTTGTCTTCCTTTTCTACTTTGATTCTGTAGCCTTGTTACTACAACCTCCTTCACACCTACACCTCCATCCCCAAGATTACTGGATTCTCTGCAAAGTGGGCACAGACCTTCTGAGTCTTCACATATGAACATATGCATGCGACCATTTAATGTTGGCCAGTTTGAGTATTACAAAGGCTGTCACCTGGAAAAGTATTTGCCTTTTTCTGTGTGTCTCTAGACTCTAGAGGGTCAGAATAGGAGTAATGGATGGAAGTTACACATGTTAGCAAAAACTAGAGTTACTCCAAAATGGCATGGGAGGCCTTTAGAGGCAGTGGGTCTCCCCTTACTGAAGGTCTTCAAGCAAAAGTTTCCATGCCCAACTGTTGGGTATAATGTAGAGGGAGATTCTGGGTCACATATATATTGGACTAAATGGTCCAACCAAGGTCCCCTCCAACTTTGAGATTCTGTGATTCCTATAATTCTGTGCTTTCTTCAGCATCACCTCTCTGGGCCTCAGTTTCATCATCTGTAAGATGAGGGAGTTGGATGAGAAGATCTCTTCTAGCCCTATCTAGATATATGAGCTAATGACTGAAGTTAGGAAGGGAAATAAGTCATTTCTGTGGTACAGTTCTGTCTGTCTATCCATTTTTCTGTTCTCTCTGTCTGTCTTTCTCCCGGCTTTCTTCCTGTTTGGGAAATTCTTTCAAGCAGTCTTAAGCTAATATGGCCAGAGCCCCAAATGGACCTAGTACTGTTGCCCAGATGGAGGCTGATCACATCCTAGTGGTTTGGCACTCCCCCAGGCTGAATCTGGGGTTTCAGGTTTGGGAGCTCTTGCATGGTCCTTGGCAAACAAAGCTGTTGCATGGAACCTGGTAAATGTGGTTGAAATTTGCCTCTGTGACACCAACACAGAATTCAGTCCTAGCTTATCCCTTCTGAGTCACCAAAACCTTTAGCAATCAATGTCATAATGCAGAAACAAAGATGCAAAAAAAAAGCCATGGCAAGAAGTTTTCAAAATGCATCTCCATAGCTTTACTCACTGTGTGCAAGGATGAGCTGAGCTGTGCTGAGCGCTCTAACAGCAGAAGTGACTTGCTCACTGGTAGGGATTGGAGTGAGGGTCCCATTCACTCAGCTGAGACAGAACCGTGCTACCCAGTACAGTGCTGGCCACAGAGTAGGGGCCCTGGAAAAACTCCCTGAGTGACCTCTGCTAGACCCTCGCAGGCTGTCCTGTTCTCATGTGGTCTTCGACAGCCGTGGCTGTGGGCGTGGTAGCAGGCTGGCATTCCTGATTTATGAGCCAATCCCAGAGGCATTAACTCTTCTGGGTTTTTGGTCGATTTTTCTTGCCCTGGTGGCAGCAATAAAAGCATGTTTTCATCTTCAAGAGTAATTCATGTGGAATGGCCATGGGAGGAGATGCTTCTGGAGAGAGAAGGATGAGTTCCACGCGTTTCCTTGGCTGACCTGACACCCACTTGTTTCCTTGTCCCCTGGTGGAGGTAGGACAGTAAGAAGCCAGGACTCAGCCCTCCTGAAAATATACCTCAGCCCCCCTCCCCATTGACCCCAAGACTCGCCTAGTATTTCCTAGGGCCTCTAGTTTGGGCATTACTTAGGGTCAGGACTGCACTAGAATATGTGTATTTGGTGTAGGGTGGGGAGTGGGAAGAAGAGTGGGGATAGTGGAAAATGTCACTGAGAATTTGGGCCTGGCTCCCAGGTGCAATTTTTGCCCTGGGTCCCACCTCTTGTTAAGGTTGGCCTCTTTGGACAGATAGAGCTGTGATAAGCAATTCTTCTGTCTGAGATGGTTGCCACTAAATACACAGTGGGTAGGGAAACCTTGGGACATGAGGCCCAATGGGCTGAGGCTGAGATCTGTCCCCAGCACCGAGGGCCAGAGATCCCAGGATACTATGATATTGCTGCTAGGGAGGGAGGAGAAAGGGCAGGGCTGAAGGGGGGAGCTCACATCTACTGGGGGGAGGGCGGAAGTGCCTGCCATGGAGGAGCATCTCATTTTCACTATTTTTGCTAACTAGATTTTCAGACCTGCTGAAGTTGTTTAAGTGCTGTTGGTACTCTGGGGACAGAGGCCTAGTTGTCCCACCCTAGGGTTAGCTCTAATGTCCTGATGGTCTTTCCATCCCCTGTACACACACAGACACACACACAGATACACAGACACACAGATACATGCACACACAGACACACACACAGATACACAGACACACAGACACGCACAGAGACACAGACAGATACACAGACACACACACACACACACACACACACACACACACACACACACACACACACCCTACGCACACATACCTCTTTCATCTCCCAGGCATTCTGCGGTGGCTTTGGTGAAAATTGTTGCTTAGGAAATCTCTCTGAATTTCATTAGAAGGTGGTATTTTAATGATAGGCCTCAAGACAGGGCTTTGCTTGCTGATTTCCTGTTTGACACGAAAGACTTCAGGACCCGCTGGGGATTGCTCTTCATCCATCGCCCACCCCTGTTTTAGGCATGTTACCTGTTTGCTTTTGTTTTTGTGATAAAATGAAGTTCTTGCTGCATGCACATGGGTACGGGCACCATTCAAGATGGTGAGAACAGGGGCCATAGCAGGGGATTGCCTTCACCACATTTCCATATCTATGGAATAAATATTTTAACATGTTAATTATCTGCTACTAATAAAAAAATACCTTTGAACTTCTAGTCAACTTGACGGGTGCAGAATTGGGCCACTGGGGAACAGGAAGCAATTCGTTTCAGTAAAGGCAATGTGTCATATTGCTTCTTCTTCAGGAAGTGGTTCGTGTGGTCCCCGGATGCATCCATGTGTCAACTCTGTCAGACTCTTGGCTGGAGTCACAGGCCTGCGCTTTGACCCACAGAGACTCGCTGGCTCTGAGAGAGCAGGATTCGGTTCTCAGGCACTAATGTGGCATTACTTAGTCTCAAAGCAATCAGAGCAGTTGTTTCATTGTGGGCGCTGCTGGTTAGGAAGTGATAAACTGGAGAGCATCCATAGAAGGGCAACCAGGATGGGGAAGGGTCTAGAGTCCATGCTATAAGAGGACTGGCTGAAGAGCAGCTAGGGGGAGGAGGGAAAGGGGGAGATGTAAAAGCTCTTATATGAAAGCGGAAGACTCGTTCTTTTGATCCTAGATGACAGAACTCAGAACAATGAGATGAAATGATGGATGTCAATGTAGGCTTGGATGTTAGGAAAACAACAACGATAACAACCTACCCACCTCCTTAAGACTTAGAGCTATCTCCAGCAATAGCACTCCTAGGGCTATATCCCAAAGAGATCAAACAAATGGGAAAAGGACCCACATGTACAAAAATATTCATAGCAGCTCTTTTTGTGGTGGCAAAGAATTAGAAATTGAGAGGATGCCCATCCATTGGGGAATGGCTGAGCAAGTTGTGGTATATGAATGTTATGGAATACTATTGTGCTATAAGAAATGATGAACAGGCTGACTTCAGAAAAACCTGGAAAGACTTATATGGTCTGATGCTGAGTGAAGTGAGCAGAACCAAGAGGACTTTGTACACAATAGCAGCCACATTATGCAATGACTAAGAAAGTTAAACTGAACCCTTCTCAGCATTACGAGGATCTAAGACATCTCCAGAGGCCTCAGGAAGGAAAATGCTGTCCACATCCAAAGAAAAAACTATGGAAGTCGAATCGCTATCACTTATTTTTACCTTCTGTTGAGTTCTGTTTCCTCTTTGTGATGGTTCCTCGTATTGGTTTTAATTTTTACTTACAACTTCACTAATGTGAAAATATGTTTAATGGGTATGTAAATGTAATGCATATGTCAGATTGTATGCTGTCTTGGGGAGGGTGGGGGGGAGAAAAAGGGAGAAAAATTTTCAATTCAAAAGCATATGGAAAAAAAAATTAAAAAATTAAAAAAAACAACAGAAAAAAAAAGACTTAGAGCTATCCTGGAGGGGAACCGGCTGTGTGGAGAGGTGGGGGCTCTCCTCATAGGAGATCTTCAAGCCAGTGCTGGGCTGAGGGAATGCCTTTTGTGGTTATGGGTCAGATTCAGTGACCATGGAGTGCATTCCACTTCGGAAGTCCTGTGCTTTGGGGTACTCACTGTGGTACGGGTTTAATTCATGGCAGGAAAATAGGACTCTCTTCCATCTAATGATCTTTGTTCTTTGTCCTTTTCTCCTCTTTTTCAGACTGAGAACTACTCCTTCGATGCCAACTATGTGAACAACCGAGCCCACATAATTAAGAGGTATGTCCGAGTGTCCACTTGCTTGCCTCCTTTATCTGCCTGGCATTGACATCCTTCAGCTAAACTCACATCCCCTTTTCTCTCCTTCTTCCTCTTGTCTGTGCCAGTCAATTTTCTGTGAAAATGAAAACAGATCATTCTGAAGTAAGATTTATATCCCCAAGCTTCTCTCTACTCTGGTTTTAAGGAAAGGGAAGCCTGCTTTGAGGACGTTATTGTCTCATGTGGAAACTGCCATTGAGGTTCAGGAGATCAATGTTAACTCAATGACTCTGGGATTCATTTTAAAAAAAAAACCTAACTCTTTCCATGGCAAAATCAAAATTGAAATAAACCAGTATCTGCATGGGTGCTTCAGGAAAAGAAAGAAAACTCCCTTACACAGTTCAGTAAGATTGCAATGAAATGCCTCAGGTTGGAATCTGTGCCCAGTGCTGCTGCCAGAATGGAAGCAGTAGGCCTTGGTTTCCTCATATGTCAAGTCCTGGTACTTCTTCCTTCTATGGGTAATTGCAAGGAGTAAAGGTAATTGCTTTGGAAACCTTAAACTGGTACATCAATATGAGTTACTGGGATTCCTATAATAGTTGTTGGCTGGGAGGGTGAGCCATTGGAATCATAACAGGTAACACATATAGGACAAAATACTCAAATATTTATTTAAAAATTATTTTAAAAGTGGATAAGATTTGCAAAGCACTTTATAATCTGAACCTCACACTAACCTATGGGATAAGTACTATAAGGGTGAGATTTCTTTGGTGTGGATGTATGAGGTCATCAGTGTGGGTAATTCCCAGTGTGGAGAGTCCCTCTTCTGATGTAGATATGCACTTCAGCTGGGGCATGTATTTTTAGAGGGTTGCCTGGGGCATTAAGAGGTTAAATGACTTACCCAGGGTCATATAGCCAGTATGTGTCAGAGGCCAAATATGAACCCAGGTCTTCCTGATTCTAAGGCTAGCCCTCTAATGTCTATATCATGTTGCAGCTCACTAGAGATAATATGATCCCCATTTGGTATCCCAGGCTCAGGGATGGGGAGTGATTTGCCCATAGTCACACAGCTGGTAATTGTGTGTGAGGCAGAATTCAGACTCAGTGCCTGAGGCCAGCTGTCTCTCCTCTAGCCCAAGCTGCCTCTATGTTGTGTATGAGGCCATTGAGTTCTACAGATAAGAAACGTGGGGCTGAGAGCGACTGATGAGGGGGCTGGACTTAATGGTCTATGACCCTCTGGGGAGGGCCAAGCACAGACCCTCCAAAGGCTGTGCTGGAAGTTCATGCTGTCGACTTGCAGTTTCATGTCAACAGTCTATGACCTAGAGTGGAATTCTGTACACACATGTACACTTGGGATACAGTTGTGGAGGACGCAGAAGTCTATTCTTCTGTTGGTGCCAATCCCATAAATTGATGTCACCCAAAGAATGGGGCTTGAGGGAGTGACTGGCTTGTTGTCTGAGCTGCTTTAATTCACATTTCATGTAATTCACAACACTGAACTATCCAGTGAAAAGAGTGTAGGTTTATCTGTGTTAGAAGGGGATCGCTCACCCAAAGAATGCCAGTCACCTGATTGCTTGAGGGAATCTCTTAGCCTAGAATCGCTCATTGATTTATTCCACGTGAATTTGGGAAACACCTGCCATGTGTCAGGTGCTGGGGTTACAAAGACAAAACCAAATCATCTCTTCCCTCAAGAAGCTTCCGTTCTTCTGTACATAGCTAATTAAAGACAGGCATTGATATCCTGCAGTAAATACGTGGTAGTATCAGGGAGAGGAGAGGACCGTGGCAGTTAGAACACAGCTGGTACAGTTGGGCATCAGACAAAGAGGGCTTCCTTGGTCTCTAGGATCCTCTAGGCTTTTGTTTTAGGGGAAAACCACATCGATGATGAGATGTGTTACATTGGAAGATTCCAAAGCTTGGCCAAACAATGTTGATCTGAACCTCTCCCCCTGCCAACCCCAACCCTCAGGCCTTCTTCAAAATAGGCCTTTTCTCAGGAAAGCTGCCTTGGTGGGGAATTGGGTTTGTAGCCTGGATCCCTAAAGGGGAAACATGGGCTTGTCACAGACATTGTTTCCACTAGCTGCCAGGGAATGAGGCCTTTTGGATGGTCATTTTTGAAAGCAGTCTCTTCTCTGCTCAGAACACTTACTAGCCTTGTAGTCAGCCTTGCTGGAGGGTTGGGTAGGTCTTGAGGCCCAGGAATCTTGAAGACAGGGTTCAGTCATAGACTTCTGAAGAGCACGGCCTTGATTTGCTCAGCTGACAGAGGTCTGAGAACTTTGATTTGCCATTCCCAGCAACTCTCTTCATCCTAGCACTCCCCCAACCCTGAATGCCCAATTCTCTGCTTCCTACTATTATTCATAATGATAAGCAGCATTTCAATAGCGCTTTCAAGCTGTCAAGTCCTTTGCAAACCTGAGCTTGTTCGTACCTCACAACAACTCTGTGAGGGAGTGACTACACAAATATTCTTGTTGTTGTTGTTATTCTCTCTATCTTATAGCTGAGGAATGTGAGGCTCAGACCAGTGAAGTCATTTGCCAGGGTCACACAGCTAGTAACTGTCAGAGGCAAGATTGGAACTCAGATCTTGCCTATTCTAAGTCCCGATTCCCACCCACTGCACCCCTCAGTGTACACTGGAGAGATGAAATGGCACAGCCATTCCACCACTTGGATTTGGCAATGAGTGAGGCTCAACCAGAGCTCTGAAACTCCCTAGAAACATCCAGTTTGCATTGTTCCTGGGTCATAGGTTTATAGATCGAGAGGTGGCAGGGACCATTGAGTCCAAACTCCTCATTTTTGAGATTGGGACGCTAAAGCTCAGAGTGGTTAAGGAACTGTCCTAAGGGCACACAGGAGGAAGTGACTGAGCTGGCAGTTGAGACCTGGTCCCCAATTCCAGACCCAGTGATCATTCGCTCTATTTGCTTGGCCTGTCTTGTTTTGGCTTGGTTTTCACCCCAAATGTGACTGTGACATAAAAGTTCTGCCAATGGACAGTCTCTCCTGATGCTGCCTGAAATCCAAGTTAGCAGCACTTTCCTAGCGGCCACCTTAATTGAAAAGGAAACATTTGAGAGGTTGGAGAAGCCTGCATTTTTTAGCTTCCCATTTGTGGGATAGCAAAGCTGAAGATGGTAGGTGGTTCGCTTGGTTACTGTGGAGATACCAGAAGGCTTTGTAACATAATGAATCTGGTTCACGTCCTTCTTTGGGGCTTTGAAGCCCTGGGTCTTCTTGAGACTGAATGATTGGGGACAAAGCATTTTGGTAGCAAAGTTCCAGGGAAACCTGTCTGTGATAGCTTTTAGGGGCCTTAGCATTGCATTTCAAACATTCAATGTGTGGAAGATGTAGGAGAGTAGGGCCTAATGCTGAATAAAAAAAAAAAACCTAAGCATGATCAAACAATTCTTTGGTGGTATTCAAAAGCAACTGCACTACATATGGCTTCCTACAGACCCATTTCCATGCATGGGAAATGTTCCCTTCCGAGGCAAGTCTGAACCCCATCACTGGATCTTCATCTAAACATTTCAATCTCCATTTATTTTGCATTAAAATAAAAATCTGGCCAACTTTGAGGATGGCTCTCCCAGCTCTTCTCACTTTCCACCCCTGGGGGTGTGAGACCTGGATGCTACCTCCTGAGCCTCAGCAGCTGACATTTGCTAGCAGCTGGTCATCTTCCTAGTCAGTGACCTTGATCCCATGACCTCTCTAGCACAGCTGGCCCTTCTTCAGGGAGCTGGCCAGGATTCTGAAGGAGGAGCTGGCCAGGACTCCGAAGGAGGAGCTGTTCATTCGACCCTCACACAGGCCAGCCCTGGGAACTGGAACAAATCACTTCACCTGGCTGAGCCTCAGTTTCCTCATCTGGAACCTGGAGCTCCTAATGCTGTTACTGCCTGCCTTCAAGGGCTGTGGCAAGGACCGAATGAAATAATGGCAGTATAATCTTATTAAAGCTCCATGTGACATCCCGGGGCGGCCAAGAGCCCTCCAGGAAAAGCATCTCGAAGGGTCCACATGTGACATTGATTTCCTTCCTGCTCCTCTGAGTGATTAAGCCCATTAACACCACTTTACACCTGTTGTGAAAGTCCTCCATTCTCTCCTGCCGTGCCCTGATTGGGGAGGGGTAGTAGGCAGGGATCAGAGCTGCAGCTGGAAGGAAATTAACCAGGTGGAAATGAACAAGGCAGTGAATTAGTGGGGGCAGGGAAATGGGGACACTGGCCTCGTGAGCCAAGGACTGGGGGCTCGTGGCCCAAGCTGCTTCAATCCCTCTAAAAATCTCGGATTCCCAAGCACCTCCTAGCCACAGATTTCAGTTGGGCCCCACAATAACCCTTCAAGGTAGGAAATGAAAGTTAATACCTCCAGTTTCCAGATGAGAAAACTGAAACTTGGCAAGGTTAAATGATTTGCCCAAGATCCTGTGGCTAGTGAGTGAGTGAGTGAGTGAGTGAGTGAGTGAGTGTGTGTGTGTGTGTGTGTGTGTGTGTGTGTGTGTGGTGGGTGGCCTAGCCCAGATCTCTTGATTCCAAGGAGATCACCTTTAACCCAACACCCAAACCTCTCATGTAGCCCATAGTAGGTACTCAGCACATATTTTGAATGAATGGAAGGGAAAAGGAAGCTCTCAGAGATCTTTTATTAAAAAGGTGTTACCACCCAGTTACACAGATTCTGGAATGTAAACATTTGAAGAAAACTTGGAAATCATAACAATCTGACTCCTCATCTCTTCAGAGAGTGAATTGCAAGCCATTGTAACCTCTCTGCCCCATCCTGCAGGACTCTGAGCCATATCCCCCAGGAAGCCTCCCCAGGGGGCTGCCCCATATGCCGGGACTTCCCTTTGTGTCTCTAGATATTGCCTAGATACCAGTGGAACCCCCAGGCTGGCCACCCTGTCTCTTCACAGTCAGCCATCTGTCTCTTGACATCACGTCTCTTCTCTCGAATTCTCTTATCTTGTGCTGCTGATGTTCATACCCACCATTAACGTCTCCATTGATCTTCAGAGACTGTGGGATTCTATGACTTGCAGCTGATGTAGCATCGCTAGAAGAATACTGATGCTAAAGAGATGAGTTTGGGAGAAGCTTGGGGGTCACTTAAAGCATTGCCCAATTTTCCAAAGACTGTCTAGCCTGCTTTCCTTCTCCTGTTCAGACCTGGGCCCAGCTCATTGTTCATTTGCAATTGCTGCCCAAGATCTGTGTATTAGTGGACCTACTCTATAGCCCATCCACCCAAATATATATATCATGATCTGGACAATAGGCATTCTTCATCCACTTGAATTCTCTTGTATGGATGGTTAGGCCAAACTCTTTTGAGTGATCATGGATCTCATTTAGGAGGCTCTAATGGTCTTCTGGGGCTTGATGCAATTAGCTGTTTGTCACCTACAAATAACATCTAGAACATCTCATTGTAATTGCTGAGACATATTCATTAAGCACACATGTGTGTACACATACACACATATACATATACATACATAACACACACACATATGTGTAGAGAGAGACTCAATCACCTAGAAAGACTTGGCCCTTCCCCTTTGGGACCCTTATATGTCAGACAGGATTCCCTCTAGCTTAAGGCTGAATCGGTGCTAAGATCTGACTAATGGTTTTTCAAGGCTTTCTTCCCCCAGGAGATACACAGGCAATAAAGAAAATGAAATCAGCAATTTTTATGCTGGACATAAATTGTTATTTGCTCAGGGTATTTGCCGGGCTGCTCTATAATTTGCAGCATCTTTCCTTCTAGGTCTTAAAAAACCTTACACAGCTCCATTCATTACACCCCAACTAGCCTTCCAAGGTGAGGGCAAACGGCTCTTACTTTGCCAGATTGGCAAGCAGAATTCTCAGCATGTTAACTGGTGTAATGGCCACTCGCGGCTTTTGCAGAGGAGAACACACACAGACATGCATGTCACACAGACATTCATCTCAAGGACTCTCATCCCTGGTTTTCCTCCTAGTAGCTGCTGATCTTTGTTTAATCAGACTGCTTCTCCTTGTAGTTCTGGAATTCATGGTTAGCAGCCCTCTGGCGGGAGACAGTGTACTACACTAGTAGAGAGAGTGCTGGGTTCCAATCTAGGCTCCATGTGACAAGGCACTTTCCTTCTCTGGGCCTCAGTTTCCTCAGCTGTCAAATGAGGAGGCTGAACCAGATGGTCTTTGAGGTCCAGCATTGTATCATGCTCCATATTTCTGTCCTGTCCATGGGGTTTCCTTGGCAAAGTGAAGTGACTTGCCAGGGTCACACAGTTAGTAAGTGTCTGAGGCTGGATTTGAACTCAGGTCTTCCTGGCTGTAGGCCCAGCTCTCTCTCCACTGAGCCACCTAGCTGCCTCTTATTGATTGATAAGTTACATGAAATATTCCACTAGGCCAGGAAAGAACCTCCAACTTGGCAAAGAAGGTAGAGAGTTGTGTTTTCTCCTCTCTTCTCGATGGGCAACCTTGGTCATTATAATTCGACGACTTTCAGTTTGTTGTTGTCCTTCCCGTTTCTATTACTGTAGTCACTGTGCACCGGTGTTCTTGGTTCAGCTTCCTTCACTCTTCATCCATTCGTGTAAGTCTTTGAGTGCTTCTCTGCGTTCTCCGGGCTCATTGGTTTTTGTGGCACAGTAATTGTCCATGACTTTCATGCACCACAACCTGTATAGCCATTGTTCACTCCATAAGCACCTGCTTTGTTTCCAGTTCTATGCTACATTGCCCCATTCTTTGAATAGGATTCCTTTTGATCCTGGGGAGAGGGTGACCCATTGCTCCATTGTGTCAACACTAATGCTTTCCAGCCCACTAATTGAATGCCACCAACCTGAGCCCCTTAGGAGCCAGGCCAGGTAGGGTTCCAGGCTGAGACGATCAAGTAGGATTACAGTGTCCTCTCCATAGGAGGTCCCTTTTCCATAGTCTAATGGAGCTCACTGGAATTCCCACATGTGCCTCGGCTCCCCTCGACTGACTGGGAGAGGGATTCCGTACCCACGAGGTACTTCAGATGCATAACTGATGGCCTATGGTCCAGAACAGCTAGCTGGAAGCCATAGCAGATGGGGCCTCCTTGGATATACCCTATGTTTTTTCTTAAGGCGTGGTGGCAGCAGTGATGGTGGCCAGGGCCACTTCTGTCGGGATGGGTTCACACAAGCCAAGAGACATTTACCTCAAATTCTCTCTGAACTGAACTTAGTTCAATTCAATGAGCATCTGTTAAGCAGTATGGAGAGATATAGTCAGGAAGCCCTGGGTTCAAATCCTGCCTCTGACATATGCTGGCTGTGGAACCCTGGGCAGGTCACCTACCCTTACAGTGCCCTGAGCCACTCTCTAAGCTTAAAAGTTATAGAGGTGTTGCTCACCTGCTTCAGTAGAGTGGCTATTCATGCCAGGGAGTTCCTCATTGCAATGAAATCTCATGTCTTGACCCAAATAGATGCACCAGGCATGATGGGAGACCCTGGACTTCCAGCCAGAGCTCTGTTGTCCTTGGCATCTCCCGTCCCTTTCACGTACCAGGCTTCTCTGTCCTCCCTCTTGTTTTCTTTTTTTTGTTCAGTTACGAAGCTGACCCGAAGTCTCTGCGCCTCCTTTCCCTTGGTTTCCAATTTCTATCCCCTTTCCTTTTTTTCTGGAAGACACGCAGCAATCCTTTGTTTGTATGAGGATGAAACAAATCCTGCTGTAATTCTCCCTCTTTGTGGTGATTGTTTCCAATTCGTAGGGAATTCTAGTTGCCTATAGGAGTGCATTTGAAGATGAATGAATGAAAGGGTAAGCTTGCCATGGTGGAGTAGCCGAGGCAATTCGGAGTTGGAGCTATTAAAGAGATTCCCCAGCACACATCCAGGCCATGCAAGGGCTGGCCTGGCTTCAGGGCTATGACATCATCCCCAGTTACAGGAGACTTGCCTGCTCAGCCCTGCCATGATAGTAAATGACTGTTCTTTCTCCAACCCAGCAGCTCCACATTCAAGGACTTGGAGGGGAATAGCCTGAAGGACAGCGGACATGAGGAGAGTGACCAGACCGATAGTGAGCATGACATCCAGCGGGGCCTGTACTGCGACACAGCCGTCAATGATGTCCTGCATTCCAGTGGTGCCTCCATGGGTGCTCAGCTGCCTGACCGTGGTAAGTGCTGAAGGGGTTCAAACCCCACATCCTGTGCTCTGGGGAGTGGCCAGGCCATCATGGGGTGGAGGGGGCAGCAGAGGGATTAGCAAGGTCCCCTTGGGGTCACTAGGGAGGCATTGAGAAGGACTGTGGGGTCCTAATCAGGAACTAGTCTCCTCATGGATGGGTGGCAGGCACAAAGAATGTAGCTGGTTCTACTCTTTAAAAAGCTGAGCACATGGACTGCGTGTCTCCCGTTTTCTAACCATGTGAGGCACCAAGCTACAAAGAGAGTGCCTCTTTTGTCACAGGGCAATGGCCCTCTTTGCCTTTGGATTCAAGGCTTGCTATGTGAATTTAGCCTGTTAGTTGAGCTGAGGAGAATATGGAGCTAATGAAGCTAAAGATGGGGGCTCTCTCCCCATACAGAGGTAACGAGGTTTCACATGGGGAGAAATATGGCTCCAGCCTTCTCACAAATGCAGATAGGGATCAGGGAGGACAGGGGATAGCCACAGAATGAAAGTGGGGATGGTTCCATGAAAACCATCCCCCTACTGGAAAGATCTTTTAAAGCCCATGGCCTCCACGTGGATGACAATGGAGGATTATAATCCTAACAGGGGAAGATGACAGTTTTTAGAAACTGGGCCACAATCCTTCAGCAAGGATTTTTTATGAACTCTGCCAAGGGCCACAAGGCAAGCCAGGCCACGCCTTAGAGCTCAGATGAACTTGAGGGCAAATGTCACTTTGTAAACATCCTACTGATGCAAATATACTCAGAAAATAGCCTTTCCTTCTCAATTCAGAGGTTGGGCTTCAGCAGAGCCTCAGGAAGCCCCGAGATCTCTTGAGATAAGCCAGGCTGCTGAAGGAGTAGAGGAGGATGGGACAGAATATGGTTATTATGGGCTGGGCTTCAGCCCTTTCTGTTTCCCTGGAAACATCGTTTAAAGCTTTTGTTTTGACTTCATAAATGAAGCCAAAAGGAGAAAATAAAGGGTGTTCATCTCTATAGCAAAAGGTTTTCTTTCCAAAGTAGGAGAAAATGTATGGTCTTTAACAACCTCCCACAAACAAAACTAAGAAAGAGCTTCCCCTCCCCGCCTTTGGAAGGAAATCAGTAGAGAAGTCACCTCCCCATTAGGTTCTGCCAACTTTCTTAATTGGTCAACAGTTGAATCAAATTGAATTGAGAAGGCACTTTCCACTGAACCTTACCATGGCTAAAGAGGGGAAGAAATGAAACATGTCTATAACTCTAGACCTGGAATAGGGCCAATTTCATTCTCACAGTATGTCATAGGATTCAGATGGATATGAAAAAGGGTGGTTTTTTTTTTTAATTAAATGTGTTCGTAGTGGAATGAGGCCAAGAATGGAAGAGTTCACCCAAGAATGGTCAGGGGTGGGGGGTGGATGGAGAAAACCATCTGCTTCCTCCTTTAAGCAGTTATTCTTGCTAAGCACAAGTGTTCTCTTAATGTCAGTGCCCTGGTGAAATTCCCTGGGACAACAGAACTATAACTAGGGTGGGGTGATCAGGGCATTTCACCAGGGTACTCTTTCTTGGCCCTCCCTATCCAGGCTCCCTGACCTGACCCCCCCCCCCACACACACATTGAGACCTTGTGCCTCCTCACTCTCTGAGTTGAATTTGTCTTTAAACGTTTGAGGTCATGACTCCCATTGTTTGCCCCGGTTATATTTTGTCCTTGCCTGGCCACAAACACTGCTGTGTCTGGCCCTAGAGACATTGCAGAAGGCGTTTCTGAGAGGGTGGATCTGACAAGTTGTACCCGGTCTACCAGTGTGGCTCAGCTCATAAGCGGGAAGGTGAAGGAAGAGGATAAGCATTTATTAAGCACGTATTGTATGCCAGACACCGCACTAAATGCTTTACAAATAGTACCTTGGGAGGTAGGTGCTGTTATTATCCCCATTTTACAGTTGAGGAAACTGAGGCAAAGAGAAATTAAGTGACTTGCTCAGAGTCACACAGCTAGTAAGTGTCTGAGGCTAGACTGGAACTCAGGACATTCTGACTCTAGGATCAACCCTGTATCTGCTGTGGTGCCACCTAGCTGCCTCTAAAGAGATCTGGTGGTGTTCGCCCAAGCTGTGTAGATGCCATTCTGATCCAGTTGCGACAGGGGCCCAGAGTTGGGCAGCTGGGACTTCCCACCCAAAGGTGGCCCGCAGCATGGCCCAGACTCCTTGAAGCTGACATCTCTTTCAGACACTGGGCTCCTGCAGAGACTCTCCGTGGCATGTGTCTGATGCCTTGGACCTGTGAATTCCAATACAATTCTGAACTTGTCCCACAGACTCCCTTGCCCACTCACTACAAGTGGGGCAATTACAAAGTGGCCCCTCAGAGCATCAACAACCAGTCTCATGATGCCTCGCCCTGCTCTCTGGAGGGGTTTATTCGGGACCCAGGCTCAGCCTGAGGACCTGGAGGGTGCCTGGGAGAGCAGGTATCTATGCCAGGGCCCCTGTGGCGTCCTGATTGTGCTGGTGAGAGCCCCCAGAAGCTCTAATTCAATTGAATTTAAGAAATAAAATGTAAGTGCTTACTATGTTCACAGCCCTGTATTAGGTGCTAGAGTTACCAACACAGAAAAGAAATCGTCCCTGCCTTTATGGTGCATACCCTGATTCCTAGGTTCAGAGCCTACAACTTGTATGCAAGTTAAATAAAGAATATCCCAACCCAGCCCCTGGGACCCCTGAAGGAGCCCACAGCTGCTTGGCTATGTCAGGGAATGGGGTGGAGAGGAGACCCTGGGCTGATTGTGGGCTTTCCAGGCCTACCATGGTCCCAACCCAATTGCCAGCAGCCCCTCTGGAACTGCCTCTTCTCTTCTCTCAGGTTTGGCCACATGGGCACAGGGCAGTGGCCGGCACAGTGGGAAGCAGATGGAACAGGTCGGTCGGTCTTAGCCCTTATTTCTTTCATGGCATGTCAGCCTCTGGCCTTGGCACATATTTGGATAGTGAACTGATGGGGCATCCCGGGGGGATGGTCATTTGGTATGTCCGTTTATTTTTTCCTTGAGCAGGAATGAAATGTTAAAACGAGCCAGAATTCTGAAGAACTGAGTGTTGGAGCTGGAGGCCAATGTATGTGACTTTGTTCCCATCTTCCTGGGAAGTCCCTGCACTCTGTGCTTCCTGTCAGGGACAAAGGCTTCCTCAGGCTTGGTCTTTATGGTTTCATATACTAGCAAAAAGGTTGGACAAGATCCCCAAGGCTAATGGCTGACATGCTCGGACCACTTGCGGGGCCAAAGCACTTTAGGTTGTAAACACCATGAGAAGAAATCCCATCCCAGCCTCTTGTTTGCAGCCAGCTCTGAAAAGTCAGGTGATTGGAAAGCACTTTGTGAGAGCTCAAGGAAGTGAGTGCCTAGAATTGACCAGTTCAGCCCCAGAACAAAGAAACCATGAGGAGCCAAAGTTGGCCTTCCAAAGGCAGATGGCACAGAGGCGCCATGGAGCCTCTCTGTCTCTCTGTTGGTAAATCAACAAAACATCTTGATGGGCTGGGCCTGGGTGACCAGGAGGGAGAAGCTCCATAGTGAGCAGCTTCCTGGCTTGCTAATAATAATCTTGGCCTCACTCCCAGCAGGCCTTAGGACAGGCCCCTGGGTCAATGAACTGGCTGAGTCCAGTTCCACTTGTTCCCAGACAAAGGAATCCAAATTGCTCTTTTTGGTGCAATGAAGTAACATGTCTCTGTTTGTCTTCACTATTGTGGCCACGTAGTGAGCTCTTTATTGTCATGGCTATCTAGAAAAGGAGGTGATAGAGAATACTTTGTCCTGTTCTTCCCACTAGAATATTGCCTTTTTTGAATGTCCTCTCTTTAAGGCCCTCAGACTGCCTTGTAAACAAATAAGTGATCCCCCCTGAGCTTGACACTTTGTCTAGTTCACTCCCAAGAGGAACTTAATTCTAGCCTTGGGTACAGTCCCCAAGGCTCCTGGCCAGCACTGTTTAGCCCCACTAATTTCTGGAGCACCACAGATGCTCTGTGTGCAGGGAGCATCCTTGACAAAGAGAGGTCCCCGTAAGGAAGTGCCCAGGTTCATTCCTTTATTGACTATCTCCTTATGCCTGAATCTGTTCAGACTGGGTTTATCACCTTGACTGAATTGAGCTTGAATCAGTGGATGTCAGGGGCTATATCTGGGATCAGCTAAAGGAACTTGGGATGCTTAGTCTGGAGAAGAGAAGACTTAGAGACTTTAAGACTTGGGATTTGAAGATGGATCACCTGAAAGAGGGTCTAGGCTTGTGCTTGGCCCCACAGGGCAGAATCAGGACCAGCACTCAGCAGAAGCCGGAAGAGACCAGCTTAGGCTGCACAGCAGGCAGACCTTATCAGTGAGTTCTGGCCACAAGGGGCCTGCACTGCTTGGGGCCATGGTGCTTCCCCTCCCTGGAGGTCACTTGGCAGAGAAGTTGGAGATCTGGGGAGCTCTTTTGGGAGATAGGGGTTGGCCTCATTGGCCGCCGACATCTCTTCTAGCTGAGATTCCATGATGGCGACCTATTTGACATGACTTGGGATTTCCCATTAGGCTTATTTAAATGGAGTCTCTGCTATCACATAGGGAATGTAGCCCAAGTTTGTCAATTCCAGCCTCGTGTCTGGTGATTTTGTCTGTTTCAAAACAGAATCCCACCCAGTCTCTCTTACCTTATGATCTTAATTATTGATTATAAATTCATCAGCTGAAAAGATGACTCTAATTGCTCTAATATGGAGTTCATTACAACATTGGATTGTTTCCCCTCCCCTGGTAATTGACACCAAATGGATAGCACAGACAGACATGCTCAGGAACATTTAGCTACTGGTACCAAGCAGACCTACCTAGAGTGCCCAAGTGCCTGAGCGCTGTTTGCTCGGCCTTTTTACTCACCTACTTTATTTTCTGGTTTCATCAGCTAAACTTCATTCAGCAAACGTGTTTGTTGGGTTAAAACATGGGGCCGGGGGATTA